GAGCTGTCATAGATAAGAGTAATGTCATCGGCGTACTCCAAGTCAGGAAGCCGATCACGCCTTGTAGGTCTCGCTAAGTGAAAAGGGTTTACATGAAGTAATCGATGGCAAAGTTAACAAAGAAAGGTGACTGGGCAAACCTTGTCTTACACAGCTGGAGATATTGAATGTCCGTGACAGTTTGCCATAAGCACTCATTCTACCCGATCTACACACGCACAGAGCTCTTATGACACTTAAATATTTATCAGGCAAACTATTCCTGAGCGGACAGTCCCAAAAAGCACGTCGATCCACCGAGGGCAAGTTTAATGCCGAGAAACAGGACTACAGTGTCGCCAATACATAGAACGCTGTTTCAACAATTGGCGTAAGGTGAAGACTTGATCAATACATCCCCAACTGCGATGAGACTCGAGTTGATCCTCGCGAATCTGGTTTCCACAGGTGCCAACCGGTTGATGGAAAGTAACAAAAGCAAGTAACTTAGAAGCAACGGATATCAGACCGATTTTCGCATTTCAGAGTATAATGAGGCGGCACAAGTTTTATGGGAAAGTCACGTGCTCTCACAGATTAACTAGTAAGTTGTGCAAATTCTCCACAAGAGCTGGACAACGGAATTTGAAGAGGACTGGAGAAATACAAAGTTAAACTTGGAAAACCATAAAACGTTGATGAAGTGAATTGTGTGCCATTGTCAGTGACAATTGTCTCAGGACAGCCGAATCCACTAAAGGTTTGGCACAATTTCGATACAGTGACATTGGTGGTTGTGCTATCCATGAGAAATACTTCAGGTCACTTGCTGTATGAGTCGACTATAATGAGGAAACTTCTGCCGTTGATCGGTCTTGCAAAGTCCACATGGATGCGGCACCATGGCTTATTAACTTTTGGCCATGAATAGAGTTCTGATTTTTGTGGCGCTTTCAAGACCTTGGCGCACTTTTGGCAGCGTTTAGCCATTTCTTCTAGCTGTTTGCCCATGAAGGGCCAGTATACATAACTGCAGGCAAGCGCCTTCATCCAGTTGATTCCAGGATGCCCGGCGTGGAACTGCCGAATAAGGCGCTCCTGAAGTGCCTTGGCGATGACCACCCTTCCCGAAAATAGTATGCAGTCGTTCACAATAGAGAGCGAGTGTCTCCTCTGGAAGTGCTGTTGCAACTCGACTGATGGACATGAACGTGGCCAAGTTGTTTTGTGAAACTGTAACTTTCTTGAATACTGGGTCCAGAAGCGTTTTTGTTCGACAGCTTCTGCATCGCATCACTTACCAGGTAGTTGACGTCAGGTTCGATCTCGAGCGAGGCAATGATTGTGTGCTCATGTTCTTGCTGATGAGCATCAATTAGGCGTGACAATGCATCCGCTTTGCCAATGGAAATTGTCGACTGGTAGTGGATCTCAAAATCATACCCCATTAAGGTAAGAGTCCAGCGTTGTAGCCGGTTGGCTGTGTAGGTCGGGATGCCCATTTTAGAAACAAAGATAGCCAGCAAGAGCTTGTGATCTGTCAGAGCTTTGAGGCGGTAGCCGTATAGCATTTTGTGGAATTTATTGACCGCGTACACTATGGCCAATGTTCCTTTCTCAGTCTGGTTGTAATTCCTCTCAACCTTCGTGAGTGTTTTGGCGGCATGGGCGATTGCTTTCTGAGATCCATCGGTGTACGTGTGTGAAATTACTGCGCCAATCCCATGGCTTGATGCATCTGTGGTCAGGACAGTCTCTTTGGAGGGATCAAAATGAGTCAAAAGCAAGTTGGACGACAACAGTGTCTTGATCCGTTCGAAGGCATTCTGGCATTTTGATGTCTAGTTCCAAGTTCGGCCTTTGGTTAGTAGCTTGTTTAACGGGGCACGCAGGCGGTGCATCTCAGGCAAGAATGCGCTGTAGTGGCTGATGAGTCCACAAACGGATCGCAAGGACTGTTGGTGGAGGAATTTTTCTAATGGCTTCTACGTTATCCGGATTTGGTCGACGTCCATCCTTTTCGAGGATAAAACCGAGGTATTTGATGATTGGCGTGAAAATGTGCATTTATCCTCACGGATCCGGAAACCGCACGACTGTATACAACCGAGCACTTCATCCAGGCAGTTAAACAGTTCTTCCGGTGTTCGACCCATCACTATGAAATCATCCGGATATGCAGCGGTTCCAGAAACGCGCATCAGCATGGTATCCATTAATTTTTGAAAACTGGCTGGCGCCGTTTTTGCACCAAAGCACAAGCGGTTGTATTGGAATAGCCCACGATGAATGTTGATCGTCAACAGCTCCCTCGAGACTTCGTCAACCTCCACTTGAAGGTAGGCATCGGATAGATCAAGCTTAGCAAAGCACCTACCACCATTCAGTTTTGCAACGATATCTTCCGATACGGGTAATGGGTACTACTGCTCGTCCAGCGCGGCGTTGAGGCCAGTTGAGCGGTCAGCGCAGACGAGCATCTTGCCATTTGCCTTCTTCAATGCGACAATAGGTGCGACCCATGATGAGTAGTTGACGCCTGTGATGACTCCGACACGTTTCAGTCGATCGAGTCCTTGATCAGTGGTTGACATGGCTGCACATGGTACCGGTCTTTTAGCTTTAAACACCGGTTTAGACCCTAGGCGTACGCTCAGCGTTGCCTTGAATTTCGTACAATGGCATAAGTCATCCTGAAAGACAGAGGCAAATTTTCGCTTCAGGATACGTGTCATGTCTTCGACGGACTTTGATGGTGGGTCTGGACTTGCTCGAACTCGATTACAGATCTGATTCAAGGGAACCTCGAGGAGTTGCCACTTTTCAATCCAGTCGAGATCAAGAAGATTCAAATTCGGCCGGTCGGAAATGTAGCACGTTCCCGACTTTTCCACACCTTTGAAAGAAATCTTGCAAGTAAGTTCGCCCACTAAGCTTAACACACTGCCAGATGCATTATGTGCAACTTTCTTAGACTCAACCATCTTCGGCCTCTTTATGCGATCCCATGTGCTCCTGAAAATAATCGTGATGTCCGAGGCCGTGTCAAATTGCAGTTTCGTTGGGATCCCATTGATCAAAACAGTGAGGAATCGTCGTCCCGGTTTACACTCACTTTGGAAGGCGGCAACTACAGACAGAGACTCGGCGCAATCCATACTACAATTCCGCATTCGATAAGACTTCTTCACTTTCTTCGACCGGACCTGACTGCAGCATTCCTCCTTCTGCCCACGCTTATGGCACGTTTCACAAATATGACGTTTGAAGGGACAAAAGCGCGCGAAATGCCATTCGCCGCATGCTGTGGGCGGCCTCTTGACGGGTTTGCAGTCCTGGCCATTCTCACGAGTTGCACGATATCTGGTGGTGCGAGACCATTTCGTTCGACCATGGCAGTGTCGTGTTTTAGAGTGAGCAGGCTTTTGCATTCGCTTACGAGGGCCTTCAGTGTCAGATCAGGATCCTGATCCAGCTTAGCTAAAAGCTGCGTGCGGATCACAGCATCACTGGAGGATTGTAGAGCGCTGACAAAAATGAGACACTTAAACTGATCGTCCGTTAAAGAGCGTAGTTTGAAACGTTCACACTCACGGTTAATTATGTCTGCTAGGGCCGCAAAGTCGTCCAATTCCTGTTTGACAATTTTCTCGCATTGACAGCGAATACTAAACAAGGATACCGGCTCACCAAAAATTTCTTTCAGCTGCGACACTACTTCGTCAAACGTTAGATTCTTCGGCTGTTTGAGAGAATGTAGTCTATGAACCTTGAATGTTCACTTATTCCGAGCTTGAGGAGTAGCAATCTCACCTTCCATGAGTCGTCCTGAGGAATGAAATCCGTCCGGAACATGTCTTCCCAGCGTTTGAATCACGCTTCGAATGTGTATCCAGAATCCGCGTCATAATTGATTTCTGTGATTACATTCTTGAGAAGATCAACAGTACTCGCCTGCATGTCCCGCGTCGCTGCTCCTGTTGTCTGCAAACTCAAGCATTGTGTCAGATTTACGATTATTTGAGTTTGCGGTTGGAAAAGCAGCTTTTGAATTTCTTCAGTAGAAAAACTCGTGACATTTCCAATCTTCTCCGTCGCCATTTGTTATTATCTTCTCACTAGACGCGATTCCGAAAGTAACACTTTACTGCTCCACAAAACTTCTAGCCCAACCGGAGAAGAAAGCAGAACGCCAATGACTTTGACAAAATAACGTATTAATCGCCGTCAACAAACACTGTACAACTACTGCGGATCTTGGCTGTATTTATAGGTCTCTTGCTGACTTTCGACTTCTAGAATTGGAAGGTCAGCCACCAAGGTTATTGGTTCCCCATATCTTTTGCCGAGGTGTCAGGTGGTTTTTAGTCACGTGCAGAACTAGAACATTCCGGAAAGTTTGAAATCGATGCGATAATTGTTAATAATCGATTAATCGCTAAAATAGTGGATTTCCTAGGCAATTCTTACTTTCTCCTGTAAAATTCAAAAGCCTGCTGAACTCTCTGGAATCAGAAATGTTTGTGGCGTTACTGCGAAAAGAAGCCAACCGTGAAAATATGCAGCATTATATCGAGAGGCTGCATTCATGTGTGCGGAGTGAACATGGCAACGGGTGAAAACATCGTCGTCGAAAGTTATTAACAAAGCCCAAATAGTGGAATACAAAACTGAATAACACCATGGTGGTATTATTCTGATCATGCCCGATTTGGTGTGCCTCGATGAATTTGAGAATAAACTATTTATTTATTTAGTGGGTCTGGGATCCCAATGTAAGAAAATCCAGAATTAGAGCAAGGGTTGTGCAGCGGGCTACCGTGAACAGCGCTATGATAGTGAATGGGGGAAAAAGCCAGACAAAATGGTAAAATTCATATTAACTGCGTGGAAACAAACGTTATCGGTGTGGTTGGTCGCCTACAGTGAAACAGAGAAAACCGATCGAACAAACACATTCTCTAAATGGAGAAGAATCGAGAACAAAAACAAGTGTGAGGTGGAATCGATTTTAAATTTACCCGAGTTATCAGGAGACAGTGCCATAATGCAGTATCGTTTTTTCCACTGAAAAAGAAAAGTATGGGAAGCAAAGGTAAACATGCAAATAAGCTTTACTAACGTTGCTGGAGAGTAAATCCTAACACAAATCATCCGCATAATAAGGAATCACTTGGCATTTGCAATATGGTATTCTCTAATTTCCTGTTCTGTGATCTGCCAGAAAGATTGAGTAGACAAAATCAAAAGACGGCACACAAGAGGGCTGTGTGGTAGGCTATCGCAACGAGACTGAACGTTAACATGGTGTGATGGTTTGCGTAACTGCGTGAGCTACATTGGGTGGCATTTTCCAAGTGCCTTCAGAGCCACTCAAATCAGACAGATCAATTGTTAAGTGTCAGACTAACTCAGTCTTGCAATCTAAGCCTCTTCGGAGGTTAGGGAGAAGTCGATGGCCCTCTTCCATTAAAACCTAGCCATGGGAGATAACAGGTCTAGGGGTTAAAAGCTCACAGATTGATAGGCGTACAGCATGAGCGCCACGCACTGTATACGACATTGGGAGAGCACCTTCCGGTGTTCAATGGTTCGTTACCGCCGCCTCAAGCTACGCAGCCCCAGGTCAAATTGGTGCAAACCCGCCAACTCCCACCTGCGGCTGGACTTGGTCGCAGGTATGTAACGCAATAGGGTCAGAAAACAAATGTGAATTTCTTATGTCATTGTGCTTGTACGGTACTTAAGCATCAGTTCAAATGGCTGATATACTGCTGCGATTGTTGTTGACGATGATTCAAACTGCCATCAATCGATCAAAATTCATGCATACCTATAAGTTAGGCTATCAGCAACATTTCGATCCAGTTACACACTGTTTTCTTTGTAGTGTCAGTCTGGATCTCACGGATAATAAACTACCTTCCCATCCGTTCAGTAATTCGACTGCCCGACTAGGGTCAAATGTGTTCAGGGGTCTTGTTTAATCGCCATTGTTTACCAACTGATCTTTCTCTATCGGATCACCGATTTGGATACATGTATACAAACTTCGGTTCGACAGCGCTTTTATATTTACCATCTAAGTTACATGATCACATCTTTACTGGAGCACGAGATGAGACGCATGGTGTTCATCGTTGCTCGCACTCCCGCCTACCGATTATCCTACAGTTCAGTCGAACAACCATGATCTGAGCACCGCGGTGCAGTGAATCCAGTTGCCACAACTCACACCTCAAGAATAACGATAAATAACGTCAAGATAATGGGGTTAAATGCAAACGGAATGTAAACAAAATGGAAGCAAGAAGGTGCATTAAACCAATCAGAATGGAATGAATATTAACAGCTAGATGTGAGAAACCGAATGCAGGAACGCCACTGATTTCGTGACTGCACCATATGTGAAAGGGTTTCCAGCCACTTAGCGCTTTCGCCCAAATTGGTGCAGCCAAGGCGTATAATGCACGTCGATGAAACCGATCAACAGGCATACGGAGGACACGGCCTATCCAACGTAAGCGATGGAGATTCAGTAAACACTAGAGTGAGGAACCAGAAAGCCTCTTGTCAAAAACCAAATGGCGGACTTGATCTGTGCTCACCCGATGATTCCATCAAAGGTGAGCAATACTTCGCAGGCACCGGTGATCAAACATGGCCAAGCGTTTAATGTCTTCACTGCGAACTGGCCAGGACACCGATCCAAACAGCAACACCGGCCTTATCACAACTTTGTACCTGCTAGCTTTCACTGACAGGCTGAGATCCCGCCGTCTCCATAGATGGTTGTCTCTGGAAAGCCACACGGACATCGCTGATACGTGAAGTAACCTCTTCAGTGATGTGACCACCAGAGATGACATAGCTAGCAAGTTAAGAGCCGATACACTACTTCCAGTGACTGTTCGGCGATAGTTAGAACTGGTGTGTCGATCCAGTCCTGCAGCAGTACTTTGAAGGTGTAAACCACATATCGAGGCGTGCAGCGCTACGCACAAGTCTGTGCAGTAGTGCATGCATAACCAATACATCAGACCCAAGAAGAGCTATGTCCGCCGCATACTCCAGGTTTGTCAGTTGGTCACCTGGCAGAACTTCCACTCCGGTAGTCTGAAAGAACCGAGTCACTCGTGATCATTCCCATAACAAAGTTGGAAAAGAAAGGATATAGGACAACCCTGACAAACTCCACTTGTCGTGGGGAACTCAGGAGACAGGTTCCCGTAGACCCTTACACGGTCTCGGGAATCAAGGGTAGAGAGACTACAGAATGGAAAGGAATTTAGCTGGCACGCCCTTCATAGATTGAGAGGGCCACAAGCTGTCTCAATCAACAGAGTCGAAGGCGGCTTTCAAGCCAAGGAAAACCACAATAGTCGGTCGTCTGTATGTGTCTCTGCTCTCAAACTTGGCGAAGAGCAAATATGCGATTCATGCAACCACGACCAGAGTGGATGCCAGCCTGGCTTTTAGTCATACAATTCTTACATGGACGAGTAAGTCTTCCAATAATGATACTAGAGAAAGTTTGAATGTAACGGCAACAAGGCTAACGCCTCGCTGATTTTTTGCCTAAAATACGCCGATTGTTCCTGAAGATGGACACGACAGTTGACAGACGCCAGTCTGTAGGTATCTCTTCAGTGTTCCAAATCGTGTTAAATAGAGAAGCAACTCCAGTCAATAAAAAGTCACCTTCGTCTTTCAGCAACCATAGAGGTAGGTCGTCAGGTCCAAGAGCCTTGTTTCGTTTCAACACGGAAAGCTCATTTCGAATCTCTTCAAAAGTGGGTGTAACATCTAATTCACACGTCGGCTCAGGCAATTCGGCAAGCGGCAATGTCGCAGCAGGCCTGTTGAACTGCTCCACAAAGGTGTCACATCCAACGGGCTAGTGGACGACGTCGAGAATGGATCAACAGTCTACCTTTCTCAGCTATTGTCTCGTTAACTGTTAGCTTTCTCGAACCCGTGTTCTAAATGAGCTGGAATAGCACTCGGATGTTCCCGATAACAATGTGTTTTCTATCTCACCGGTTCTGACCACCTACCTACGTTCCCGGTCGGTTCGAAGACTCCTTGTCATAAGTCATTTCAGAGAGTTACCGATACGTTGAAACGCCGCACGCTTGGATTAAAATGATCAATGCTTCAGAGATCCATTCACAGTTACAACTTTCAAGTTTGGTGCACAGTGTGCATCAAAGGCATTCTTCATGGCACACTTGAGAGGACCCCAGTAATCGTTCCGCTCACCAATCTCATTCATCACTGAAAATTGGCAGGTCAGTTCGTTAGGATATCGCTGAACCGCAGATTGCAAGTTCAAGTCACAAGTAAGAAGGCTAGAGGACAGGTAAATCTTTGAAGTAGGAAGAGTGAGCGCCAAGCGTGCGCGCACTAGAGTATGGTAGAAATCCAGGCATGTGCTCCAAATTCACCGACAGTCTTGGACTGATGTGCGCCACCTGTAACTGATGACAATATGGTCAATGTGGGTCCAGGTCATTGAGGAGTTCGGTGGGCTCCAGGTGACGCGGTGTGAACGCTTGTGCTGGAAAGCAGTGCTGATAATAGAAAGGTTGTGGCCGGCGCACAATTGCAGGAATTGATCACTATTGTCTGTATGGCGTGCATCAACTCAGAAGCGCCAGGTGTTGTTCAGAGTCTGAAAGGCGACCCACTTGGGTACTCAAGTCACCAGCAATAATTCGATGTCAGTATTGTTGGCCATTCAAAGAAATGAGAGTTGTTGATAGAAATCGTCTTGCATACCCTCCTCTAGCAACGACACTGGACCTTAACACGGTGCGATGGCTTAGGTGCCTCAGTCATCATTGGGCTATGCTAGGTTATAATCAGCAATATAGGTCAGCTGAGAGTGAGAAACACGCCTTAGGTAATGTTCCGTAAGGTAAAAAAAGAAAAAAGAAAAAACCCTCGAAAAAGTTTAGAAAAATCATTTAAGGTTAAATATCATATTATTAATTTCTTATGAGATCGTGATTAGAGGAAGAATCTAAAAGAGAGGGCGATGGACAAAGAAACTCACAACACACACCATTAGGGCCGGCTCCTAGTCATGTCAGCGAGTGTGTCCAACCAATCGTGTTTGTCGTCCTTCGGACCCCAGCCAGGAAGTCGGGATGCACCAACCGACGTCAGTTTCGAAGTGAGGGTTTTCATACTACTTGAGCAACTCACCGCTTGGCTTTCGCCCCTTCTTTTCCATCCAGACCCCGGGCGCGCAAACAACGCACGCCGCGGGAGTCGGAGTGCTAGTGTGCGCTACACGTGGCCCAGCCACCGGAGCCTGGTGCGTGATATAATGGTAGTGAGCGGTTCGCTTGCTCTTCCTGCACCAAATAAGTGACGCCAAAAACATTCACTGCTCACGCGGTGCTCCCACCAGGCATGAGTTAAGCTGCGAAGACAACGATGGCCGAACGTAGCTAGCATCGTTATGTCTGTCTACCTGATGGGCCAGGTCTCACAACCATACGGGAGAATTAAACGGACGGCTGCATCGTAAACTCAGCCCTTCAGGGCGTGAGCGAAGTCGCGTCGGCTCCATAGGTGGCGGGAATTTGCAAAAGCACCTCGAGCTTCTGCTATACGGTTCCTGATATCACCTTCGATCTCACGGAGGCTAATATAGCTGCCCAGGTACTTGAATTCTTGAATGACTTCGAGCTGACCGCTATCGAGGGTCAGCGCAGGGGTAGGTCTCTACCAATCCTGGAGAACTTTGCATTCCGAGGAAGCAAAGCATGGCCCAAATTAATCGGCAGCCAGTGCTTATCTGTCCAGTGCTGCTTGGCACCTTTGGGTGTCGTCACGTATGAGGGCACTGTCGTCAGCATAGTCCAAGTCAATAAATTGCGCAACAGGAAGTTGCTCCACACTTTCCAGGTGGTGTCCAGCGTATGTTGATTCATGACTTCGTCAAAAGCGAAGTTAACAAAGAAATGTGACAGCGACCAACCTTGTCTCACATCGCTGGAGATACTGAAGGGCGGCGACATTTTGACCATAACCCCTCACCCTGTCCGAATTATGCG